TTTGAACAAAATTTTTAAATTGTACATATGGGTCCAGTCAAGTGGTAACGGAGGGAAACAGGGGCAGATTTTTACATTCAAATGTCTCTTATTCAGAAACTAGAGGAACTATTGAAATAAGTAAAGTATCAGAATGTAGGAAAGAGTTACACTCCAACAGGGTCAAGTTAAACCTGTGATATTCTTTCAAGTTGTTGACAAAAATTTAAAAACTCATGTCGGTAACGGAGGGAATGAAATATGCAGCACTTTTTGGGCAATAAATCCAAACAGTGATAACTCTTGGTTCTCACTTACATATCCTTAACAAACTGGTTTGAATATTTGCTTCATATAGTTTTCTACCATATGGTACAAGATTAGGTTGGCTCTTACTTTTTGACTCATGAAGAAAGGTCATGGTGAAAAGTAACGGAGGGAAAATTGTTCAAACAAGTAGAAGGTGCAGGATTTTACATAATTTTGTCAGTTTTTTCTTCTGAATACTTTAATATTACTTCAAAATGAAAGGAAACTATTTCTATAAAATATGTCAGTCCTTCCAAGCAAATTTTTATCATTTTAAATACTTAAAAAAAAAAAAAAAAAATCCTGTACCTTCATCAACAGTTCAAAGATGGAATAACACAAGATATGATGAAATACATCCATTTATTTACATGATTTTTGCAGGTCTTTGAAATTTGGAAATAATTTTTGTTCCATGTTTCATTCATGGTCTGTTTAAAACGTATGGAACTTTAGAACCAAAAATGGTACAGAAAAAAGGTCAACAGTTTCATAAACTAGAGTACATATGTATCTGTTCAATACATTTTTATATCAGATGAATTAACTTGAGGTTTTGGCCTTGTTGTTTACTTCTGCTTGACTGGGCACATATACAGGCTGCACCTGAATAGAAGCTGCAGGTGTCCACGTCTTCAAGAACGTTTTCAAGTTCAGTCCGTCTGTTTTTATTGCCTCTGAAAGTTTTTGTCGTCTTTTTGTGTTGAGTCAGTTCCAAAATCTCACCATCGACTCACTGATGTCGAGTTCACCTTTGATTTCCATCTTCCACAGTCACATCAGTCGCCTTTAACTTAAAAACTGCATCATCTGCATTTCTGTGTGTGTGAAGAAGCCATGTGCTGTGTGTGTTGTTAGCTTTAGTGTTAACAGCGTGTCTCGGGTGGTGGGCGACGGGAGCGGCTCCGTAGGTCACACCTGTCCCATTTAGGCAACGCTCTTTCGGTCTGTGGAGGTCAGTTCGAGGGCTGCGGGCTTCGCTGTATCAGAGGACCCTGGGATCGTGACGCCATTGTTTTCCAAAAGCTGCGGTTTGTTTGTCCACACGACAACACAACACCGGTGTTCTCAGATTTCTCCACTCTGGAACCCGTTCTCAAAAAACTCAGTTTTCGCTCACCTGAAACGCCTGATCCGTGTGGATGAAAGGCCAAAACGAAAACAAACTTCTCCATTTTGACCAAAAAACATTGTCGTGTGGACGGCCCCCGTGTTTAGTCGTGACTCTGGGCACCAGCAGGAGGCCGGTCCCTGAGCTCCTCAGAGTGTGAGATGGTTCATGCGGCACTAACATGTCACAGATGGACTTTGGTGCTCGGCCATGGAGACACTTGTACAAACAGAGCTGCTTTAAAGTCTCTGAGCCACAGGAGCCAGAGCAGAGACCTGAGACCAGGACTTATGTGCTCGTACTTCCTAGTTTGAGTAAAGATTTGCAGCGTTCTGGATGTTCTGGATGTTCTGGATGTTCTGGATGTTGTGGATGTTCTGGATGTTCTGGATGTTCTGGATGTTCTGGATGTTCTGGATGTTCTGGATGTTCTGGATGTTCTGCAGCGTCTCACAGCTCGTTTGGAGAGACCAGTGAGCAGAACATTACAGTATCAAACCTACTGGAGACAAACACATGGATAAGTTTCTCCAAGTCTGATTTAGACAATAAACCTTTAATTTTTGCTGTTTTTTAGATGGTAAAAAGCTGCAGATGTTATTGATTTGCTGTTAACTCTAGATCCATGTGTTACCCGCACAGACAGCGGCGTTTCTGCACTCAGGCTGCACAAGTATCTGCTGTGTTGCCAAACCGTAAACCGTATGTATGTGCCAAACTAAGAATCCATCTATAATTTGGCTGCATCATCGTTTAAGCCACAGGGTTCAAAATGTGAGAAAAAAGTAGCGGCTTATAGTCCGGAAATTACGGTAGTTAGATATTTTACTGGTATCAAATATTGGTGCTGATATTGGAAATTGTGATGGATTGGACATCAGTTCATCACATTTTAGTTTATAAATGATGTAATACGATGATTTTACTGACCAATGTTGGACCCAAACGTCTCATAACTGTTTTTTTTACAAAGCTGTTCAGTATTTAACCGCACACATTTGCATCGTTTTATACCTGACGCTGTGTTTAAATAAAATAAATTGCGTCTCTTTCCTTGTTCGTCTTCTTCCTCTCGCAGTCGTCGATCGGTGTCCGCGTGCGACTGTCATAAAGTGTTGTTTATGTATTGTGGAGTAAAAGCTGTTGGTGAGTGTTGAAATGCAGAGTGATATTTACGGTGTTAATCTAAACGTGTGAAGCGCTTTTCTTGGCTCGGCTTCGCTTGTTGGATCTGACGAGTGAAGGAGGTGTAAAAACATGATCAACATTTTTCAATTACTCCCGTAGTATGGCCGCCGTCTCCACCGCCCGTCTCCACCGCCGTCGTCTCCGCTCTGTGAGGAAGACGGAGAATATTTACACCACATTACGTCGTACTCAGTGTTGGGAGGGTGACTTTTAAAATGTATTCCCCTACAGATTACAGATTACAACCACCAGAATGTAGTTTGTACATGTAGTGGATTACTTGATTTGCTGTAGAGAAGCAAAGACGAGGATATCGTAACAAAAGATGTTTTATCTGCTAAAAGAAAATAAAAGGCCCAGACTTTACTAAACCAAATTAAAAATATTAGGGAGAAGAAGAGGAGACACGGTCCATGCAGCATGATTTAGTCCTGTTAAATTCTGTTTTAGTCCTGGTTTAGTCTTAGTTTAGACCTGGTTTTAGACCTGGTTTTAGACCTGAATTTAGACCTGGTTTTACACCTGGTTTCGACCTGGTTTAGTCTTAGTTTAGACCTACTTTTGATCTAGTTTAGACCTGGTTTTAGACCTGGTTTTAGACCTGGTTTTAGACATGGTTTTAGACCTGGTTTAGACCTGGTTTAGTCTTAGTTTAGACCTACATTAGACCTAGTTTAGACCTGGTTTTAGACCTGGTTTAGACCTGGTTTTACACCTGGTTTAGACCTGGTTTAGACCTGGATTTAGACCTGGTTTTACACCTGGTTTTAGACCTGGTTTCGACCTGGTTTAGTCTTAGTTTAGACCTACTTTAGACCTACTTTAGACCTGGTTTTAGACATGGTTTTGACCTGGTTTAGACCTGGTTTAGTCTTAGTTTAGACCTGGTTTAGACCTGGTTTTAGACCTGGTTTTAGACCTGGTTTAGACCTGGTTTAGACCTGGTTTAGTCTTAGTTTAGACCTACTTTAGACCTAGTTTAGACCTGGTTTTAGACATGGTTTTAGACCTGGTTTTAGACCTGGTTTAGACCTGGTTTAGTCTTAGTTTTAGACCTGGTTTAGACTTTAGACCTACTTTAGACCTAGTTTAGACCTGGTTTTAGACATGGTTTTAGACCTGGTTTTAGACCTGGTTTAGACCTGGTTTAGTCTTAGTTTGGACCTAGTTTAGATGTTCAGATCTTTAGACAAACGCTTCACGAACTGAGCTCCAGTCGCTCTTCCTGTTACTACTCCCATATAAACAAACCAATGTGTACACGGACTAAAAGAATCCGTGTCTTATTCATTCATTCGTTCTTCAATATAAAACCAAAAATAAGAAAATGAAAAAACAATTTTCTTCATTATTTGTCTCCAAAACCAAACTGAAAAAATTGTATAATTATTCGTTTTTTCAGTTTTAAATTTTGTGTTTAAATGAAGAATGGATAAAGTCCCGACTTCCGTGACCGCGATGCCGGACTTTTGTGCTGCATAAAGACTGAACCAGGACTGATCCAGGTCCGGGACCACACCGGGACCACACCGGGACCAGACTGGGACCAGAGTGGACTCCGAGCTTTGACTCTGAGCCTCCGCGGGGTCCGAGCCTCAGCTTCGAGCTCCAGTCCTGCCGTGGGCTCTGAGTCTCCGGTCTGGTCCCAGTCTGGTCTCAGTCTCAGTCCTGCTCTAGTCCCGGTCTGGTCTCAGTCTCGGTCTGGTCCCGGTCTGGTCTCAGTCTCGGTCTGGTCCCGGTCTGATCTCGGCCTGATCTCGGTCTGGTCTCGGTCTGGTCTCGGTCTCAGTCCCGCTCTGGTCCCGGTCTGCTCTCAGTCTCGGTCTGGTCCCGGTCTAGTCTCAGTCTGATCCCGGTCTGGTCCCGGTCTCAGTCGCGCTCTAGTCCCGGTCTCGGTCTCAGTCCCGCTGTGGTCCCGGTTTGGTCTCAGTCTCGGTCTGGTCCCGGTCGGGTCTCGGTCTGGTCTTGGGTCTAGTCCCGGTCTGGTCTCGGTCTCAGTCCCGCTCTGATCCCCGTCTGGTCCAGGTCTCAGTCTCGGTCTCAGTCCCGCTCTGGTCCCGGTCTGGTCCCGGACCTGGATCAGTCCTGGTTCGGTCCGTACGCAGCGCAAAATCCGGCAACACAAAATCGAAAACTGAAAAAATGAATCATTATCCGTTTTTTTTTTTTTTTTCATTTTGGTTTTGGAGACAAATAATGAAAAAAATTGTTTGTTCGTTTTCTTATTTTTGGTTTTATATTGAAAAACGAATGAACGAACGACACACGGATTCAGATCTTTGGACAAACTGAGCTCCGGTCGCCCGCTCTTCCCGTTACTTCTCCCATATAAACAAACAAATGCGCACACGGGCTAAAAAGACAGAATATTTACAAAAGTACATTTCTAAGCCTTGTGTTTGTGTTTCCCCAGGCGCTGGCGATGGGCATGATGACAGAGTACTATCACTACATCTTCACCACACTGGTAAGTACTGCCCAGACTCCCACTCCACACTCCCCCCCAAATCTCTGACATCTTTCTTCAATCTTCATTTTCTCCTCCATTTTTCTGAGACGTATCAGCTCTCAGATCACATTTTTTGCCCTTAATGTTTTTCTGCACAGCTTGGAAAATAATGGATATATTTTGTTCTTTTTTTTTTTGCTTCGATCTGGGTTCATTTTGGCTGAGATTTGGTTGGGAGCTCCTCCATCTTGCTTGGCCGTGTCAGGACTCATTTGCTGACACGCCACTCTTACTTCGAGGGCTTATTCGATTTCTCTCCTCTTCAAGTCTAATTTTGTTTTTCTTCCAAGATGGTCCGAAATGCACACACCACGAGTCCTACGTTTTAACAGTGAGGTGACATGAAATGACCTACATATTCAAATGGACAATAACTCAAAATCTATCTGTATTAAGTGATCATTTAAAAGTTTAACCCTTCCAGACTGAAAGTGGACATGTTTTACATAACCAGGCATAACTCTCCAACCATAAAAGATAGAAACTTACTTTTTTTTCTCTTGTAAAGCAGACAGTTTCGGCTTTCCGAGCGTATTTCCGGCATTAACCTGCGTCACACACGCGTCGCATGATCATGTAGGGAAAACGAGTGTCTAATAGGCGGAGGTGGGACTTGCGAGTCGTGACTTGGACTTGAGTCAGACTTGAGTCACTATTTTGAACATGTCACTTGAGACTTGACTTGATAAAATGGACCAAGACTTGGGTCTAGACTTGGACTTGAAGGTCAGTGACTTGTGACTTGACTCGGACTTTATTTATTTATTTATTTATTGAATAGGGACAGTGCATATTAATGAACATCTACAACACTGCAGTGTAAATATGACAGATTATTATTATATTATTAATATTATTATTATTTCCATCTGTCGTCCCACGGCAGGTAACACCACAAATTTAACAGAAAAAAAAAACAAAAACCAAAAACAAGTGAAAGTTATACATTAAAAGTGTCCACAAGTCTGTTTTTCTTTAGCCGCTGTTTCAAGTAGGACTTGAAGGTGGCAAGAGTTGGAGTTTCTCTTATTGATAAAGACAGACTGTTCCAAAGTTTTGTGCCTCTGACTGAGACACACTTTGTCTGAATGTGGAGCGTCTGTGTGGGACTCACAGTTCCTAGTTCCCATTCCACTCACGATCTTTACTTTAATAAAGTCCTGTAACGGAGGCGGGGCAAGACCACGCAAAACTTTATAAATAAAACATTCACATTTAAACCAATAAAATGATTAAAATTATGATGATTATACTTGTGTAAAATAGTGCAGTGGTGAAATGAGAATGGTTTCTTGTCCATTATTTTTATGGATTTTTTAAAAAGTGATTCGATGAGTTTGAGTTTCGTGCCAAGAGCAAGTGACCGTGTGGTTCTGCAACACTCTATATGAAACAGAATCATGGAGTGTAAAAACATTTGTGCCACGTATAGAGTCATAAAAGATCTTGTATAAAATTCACAAAATTAAAATGAACAGTTTTTGTGAGGCGCTTAATGTGTTTGTTAAATGTCAGTGTCGGGTCCAACGTCAGTCCCGGGTCTTTAAACTCTTTGACGAGGCTGAGTTCCACCCCGTCCAGAAAGACCCTGGACGCTGTAGCTCAGGTGTTTTTTTTGCTGAACATCGTGCAGACAGTTGAGTTGCAAGCATGAGTTCTTGACCCACTTTTGGACATGATTCATGGCTGATGTTAACTTGACTTGAGGTCCAAGACTTGAGACTTACTTGAAACTCGCAAACACAACGTCTTGGTCCCACCTCTGAAACTTTCTTTTCCTCCAAACTCATGCACTCCATCCATAAGCACAGGCTAGATAAATTCAGAACCTTTAAAGCCATCCTGTGCTGCAGTTTGAATGTTTTGCAGTCCAAACAAACCAAATTATTATCTTTTAAATCAATCACTTCAGTTATTCAGGTTACGTTTACACAGAAACAAATCACCGTATCGCAGTATCGGAAATGATTTTTGTCCAGACACGCTGTTTCTGTGTCTGTTCGCGTTCCTTTCCACACAGCTTTACGCATATTTGTTTACGTTTTACAGAAATGAAACTTAAAACCACACCCTGATGCGGTTCAGCTTCTGTTGAACTAAAGGCCACGTCTCACTGGAATATGAGTGTTCTTTCTGTGACAGAGGAGTGTTCTGCTGACCGTGTCTGAAGTTGCAGCAGACGTTTCATGGGCACAGAAGTTGAAAGGGTGTCCGGCTGGAAGTACCTGGGTCTGCACATCACCGACAGACTAACTTGGTCCACTAATGCAGAGAGCATTGTTAAGAAGGCCCACCAGCGTCTGTATTTTTTGAGGAGACTCAAGGCTGCTGGACTAGGCCTCCCTGCTCTCATGTCTTTTTATCGATGTGGAGTGGAAAGTGTGTTGACCCAGTCCATCACAGTGTGGTACGGCCACTGCTCAGCCCAGGACAGGAAAGCTCTACAGCGTGTGGTCAGAGTGGCAGAGAAGATCACTGGATGTGACTTTACACCCATCAGTGAAATTTATGAGGAGCGTTGTAGAAGACGGGCCTCCAGGATCATGGGGGACCCTCGCACCCTCCCACCATCTGTTTGTTCCTCTGCTTCTGGGAGGAGACTGAGGAGCATTAAAGCCAGAACATCTCGGCTGAAGTTCAGCTTCTTTCCTGAGGCTGTCAGACTTTTGAACAGTGCACACTGACTTCCTGCTTTGGTTGCCTCTTTCTCTATCTTGCCACGTTTACTACTTGTTCATTGGAACTGCTAAATGTTGTTGTTTTAAATGTATTTATTTTTTTAACATTGCTTATTATTATTATTATTGTTTTTTATCTCTTTCTGTATCACTGGGCCTCGGGGAGCACATTTCGTTCTGTCATGTGTTTCTCTCACATGTTTGAATGACAAAATAAAGAACCTTGAACCTTGAACCTTGATTTCGAGCCGAGGAAGATGGCAAGCGACGGCGCAGATTGGCGGCCTCGCTTCCGTCAGTCTGCCCCAGGGTCGCTGTGGCTACAATATTATCTAACCACGACGAGTGTGGAGTGACTGAAGAATGAACCAAACTGTCAAATGAGTTTGAGCGTCTGGAAAAGCTCATAATATTAAATCATAAATCACAAATCTTACATCAACTGCCTGTGAGAAAAACATGAAATCACAAAAAATGAGTCTATACTGGGACAAAACCAAGACTAAAATCATAACTAAACCAGAACTAGACCAAGACCAGCTTCATAAACCCACTACACAGAGTCTTCACTGCTACAAAACAACTCCTTTGATTTTTACCTCTGTCCAGTCCAAGTTCAACAAACATTTGAACACTTCCTCACCTCCTCTCAGGTCACACACTCTTGTTTTTCTCTGAAGAGTCTGTGTTGTGTGGATCAAACTCCATCTCCTCCTCCTCCTCCCCGCCTCTTTTTTTTTTTTTTTTTCCATTTTAACATCATAAAAGCTCTTCATAGCTCCGTGTTTCTCATCAGAGCCTCAGAACGCTGACCGCGATTTGAAACGAACGGTCTGAACATGGGAAACTCAGCGTGTTTTTGGGGACAGATTATAAAATGTTCCTTTGGTCTTTAGATTAAAAATGAAGCTCTGTGAAATGGACACAAAGGCTGGTCTAGATAAGTCCTTTACTATTGTTATTTCATTGTTCAAAAGCCCGATATTAAAGAAGACAAAAGATATTCTTGTGAGCTTTAAAGCCGTTGTAATGCTGCTACCTCCTCGGAAACAGACCTGGAACACAGTGGACGCTTCTTGCATTACCACGTGACGTCACAAAGTGGGACAAATGCTGCGTCCGTTTATCAATCCTTCTCCCGCTCGGATCTCGGATATGACTTCATGTCCACGCTTCAGTCGTTTTATTATGTTTCGTGTGTCCGACTCGGAGAAAAACGTGGACGCCAACCAGAAATCTGTCGTTGCTTTAGCGTCGGCCGAGTACCAGGCGCTCCAAAATAAGTCTGTAGAATTCAGTATAAATAGTATAATTCAGTGACTTCCTCTGTGGCAAGGTTTCGAAGGTGGATGAGATCCGTCCTGAGGATCTTAAGTCTCTGGATGTTGTGGGTCTTCGCTGACACGCCTCTGGAACATCGGGGACAGTGCCTCTGGACTGGCAAACCGGGGTGGTGGTCCCTCTGTATAAGAAGGGGGACCGGAGGGTGTGTTCCAACTACAGCGGAATCACACTCCTCAGCCTTCCCGGTAAGGTCTATGCCAGGGGACTGGAGAGGAGAATCCGGCCGATAGTCGAACCTCGGATCCAGGAGGAGCAGTGTGGTTTTCGTCCTGGTCGTGGAACACTGGACCAGCTCTACACTCTCCATCGGGGTGCTCGAGGGTTCATGGGAGTTTGCCCAACCAGTCCACATGTGTTTTTGTGGATCTGGAGGAAGGCATTCGACCGTGTCCCTCGTGGTGTCCTGTGGGGGGCGCTCTGGGAGTCTGGGGTCCGGGGCCCTTTGCTAAGGGCTGTCCGGTCCCTGTATGACCGGAGCAGGAGCTGTGTTCATTGCCGGCAGTAAGTCAGACCTGTTCCCGGTGCATGTTGGACTCCGCCAGGGCTGCCCTTTGTCACCGGTTCTGTTCGTTGTTTTTATGGACAGAATTTCTAGGCACAGTCAGGGGCCGGAGGGGGTCCGGTTTGGGCACCACAGGATTTCATCTCTGCTGTTTGCAGACGATGTTGTCCTGTTGGCTTCATCGAACCAGGACCTGCAGTGTGCACTGGGGCGGTTTGCAGCCGAGTGTGAAGCTGCTGGAACGAAGATCAGCTCTTCCAAGTCCGAGGCCATGGATCTCAACCAGAAAAAGGTGGCCTGCCCTCTCCTGGTGGGTGGAGAGTCCCTGCCTCAAGTGGAGAAGTTAAAGTATCTCGGGGTCTTGTTCACGAGTGAGGGGAGGATGGAGCGTGACATTGACATGAGGATCGGCGCAGCGTCTGCAGTGATGCAGT